CCTCTCCTTCATGAATAAAACTCGGTTGTCAGTCAGGGAAAACTAGGCATTATTTTAATGTTACATGCTGGTGCTGAATCCTAAGTGGTGGCGTTTGTAAAGTTACACAGTCAAAATATAACAGAAATGATTTCGGTTATTTAGCAACTAAACATTTACCTTCAAGTTAAGTGTTTAATTTGAAGATAAATATTTAGTGAGGAAGCTAAAAATGTAGTTTAAAACTGTATTTATTTCACAAATCAAATATTTAGTGTCAAGCCAAATATTTAGTTAGAAAGCTAAACATTGGGCTTCAAAATAAGCATTTAATCTAAATCTAAAATGAATTTAGATTTTCATTTGTAAAACCACAAGATCTTAAGTAATTTTGATCTAGTTTGTAGAGAAAATATCACAACAAAACTAACTCAAAAGTAACTTCTTACCAAGACAAAAGGGTTAGGTTTCCAAAAATACTTGGTAGGATTTTTTTTTTTAATTTTTGATGTGAACCAAGCATCATTCTTCCAGCTTTGTGTTAATCTGTCTCATAAAATCTCAATAAAACATGATACATTTTAAGGTTATACCAACACTTGTGTATTTTAATTCTGTTTGGAGAGCTGAATGAAATGTTTGTCAGCTGGATTCCAGTAATTCAAAGCCATTTTCTTTGCTGCTTCTATATCCAATGACATTTTTAACACTTCTAAGACATAGTGCAGAATAAAAGCTGGAGACGGCAGTGAAGTGTTACAAAGAAAGCATGTACACTAGTCTAATTTTTCTTGAATCCATAAATGTTGCCTTAACTGAGAAAGAATAATTGTTGGAATGACTTTTTAGTCATGGAACGTTTTCTCATCAGCAGGACAGGAAACCAGTGACTCACCTTCACCCTCGGCTGACGGCAGCTGCCATTTTTACTTTTCAATCTTGCTCCTTCCATCTGGTTGTGACATGCGGCTGTGTCATGCTGAAATAATAATGAAAGACAGGCAGCAGCTACAAGGCTCGCTCATTATTCCCAAGAGCTGCAAATAGATCCTCCAGCGTGTTCATAACCTAGTGTGTGAGCGGTTTTTGTGCTTAAAAATGGCAGCAAACTGCCTTTCCGCCTGAATGTAAGGCACATAGATCAAGGTAACAAAGGGTAATCAAGCACAGCAGAGGGACACCTCACCTCGATTATGAGGTCGTAGAGCCTTCACTCGATCAATAAAATGTCCTTCATTAGCATTTAGGATGATTTAGGGTTTCCTACTGAGCTGGAAAAATGACAAAAAAAATAATTGCTGCCCTCTTAATCTTTTAAAACCCAACTACATGTTGAAATAAGGGCTACACAATTATCACATCATATTATGAGGTTTTTAATATCTGCTCTGAATTGTTTCAAAAGTTTTATGAGGACAAGTGCGAACATGGCCTAGAAAATGTACATCCCAGCAGTATTTATCTACAATCCTAATGATATAATTGCCTAAATTAACCTGACCTACATAAGAGATGAAAAGGCTAAATAGAGGTAAAAATAATTAGAAGTTTTCTGAAAAATGACGAAATTCCCGGCTAATCCAGTGAGCAAATGCATGTGCAATTCCATGCATAATGTGTTTGTTTGTATCCACACTAAAGAGCACACTAAGAAGATTAACCCACCTGCCACTCACAGCTGAGCCACAAATAATGAAACATAATTTTTACTCTGAAAATATTTTAATCAAGCGAGGTGTAAAACAAAAACAGTCCGAGGCTGCACACCTCAGGAGAAGCTGAATAAATAAAGCCTGCATCCTGAAAATTAATCACTGCTAAATTGGGTTGTGCTCTACCTTCTGCTGAGATTAACATGCAAATCCAACCAGAGCAGGTATCAAGGATTGGAACAAATTAACCATGGAGATTAAAACTGTTGCCATGGACCAGGTTGTTGAAAAGGCTCATTTCTGCTGGGAAGTTTTATATACATGACCGGAGTCTTCTCTGAGTGTGGTGGGACAACCTTGATTTAAAAAAAGTTTAACATGTATTTCAACTAAAAGCGTATATCATTAACAGCCAAAACTAATCTCTGTATTTCTGATAGATTATTATGTAAAGTGGATCTCTGGTAGCAGCTTCCTAACACTTTAGTTCCCCTCTAAAAACAAGTGTAAATATATATTTTAACAATTTAAATGCCAAAATGCAAAGAGGAAATTATCTTAGTCTTGCTGGACAAGCTAACGTCTTTAGTCTTGTTTACTTTCGCCCTTGGTTGCACAGCCAATCAGCGGCAAGAAAAATACATTGTATTCCTCCATTAGTTGCTTTGCAAAGACCAATCAATAGCGTGTTAGCTAACATTTTTGTTGATATTTTTGCTTCTGAAGCTACAATTTTCTGTTGTATTTTGCTCTACAAAACAGGCTAATTTTCTCCGATGCCTATTTATGTCTATTTGAGTTATATAGAAATGCTGCATATTACATCTATTCGTTATTTAGATTTTGATACAAACTTGGGCAAAAATGAATAAAACCTGCCAGATTCACTTCTTATAAAAGTGATGCATATTACACCTTTTTGTTGCGTTTGTTAATTTAACAACTTGGTTTCGGCTGGTTATTTAGGAAGGTTCTGCCCTCAGGAAGCTTGTTAAATTTAGTTTTGAAACAACAATGCCTTCATAAGACTTACAGGTAGCGCTCCTTTCAAAATCACGACAGGTATTTTCATCTTCAAGCATTTGTGCATCCAGGAAGCTGAAGGTACATCATGTTTTCTACACCAATAGAGAAAAGGAATATTTTTTTTAACTCTTCTGACAATAAATTAAACATGGACTATTTTAAAAACAAACAAACTGTAAACTATTGTAGGTTTGAAAAAGATATTTTCTTTCTCTTTGGTGTAGAGAATAATTTTAAAAAATGATTCCAAAGGTTGCATTTTTCTACCATTCGTAACGAGTCTTTTCAGTCTGATCTGGTAACTTCGCGTCATCTTTGGGTTTTTCCTGTCGAGGTGGCCTCCACGTTACAATGTTCCCTCTACAACATGGCTGCCCTCATCACTGAATGTGAGGGCTGTGAGCAGCAGCAGCAGAGTAAGGCGCTCACACCATGAGAAAGTGTTCAACATCTTCAGACTGAGGACACGATGATCCTATCTCATAAAAAAGCTGAGAGCTCTGCAGTAAAAATGAGTCTTTATTTTCCAGAGATATAAAAGAAACGACCTTAGAGTGAAGGACGGGGAACACATCTCAGAATTTTGATTATTAACGTTTTTTTGTCTAATGTCTAAACTTTTGGCCAATTTCCCAAGTTCAAAGTACTTGAAGGATAAAAATACAAAACTAATTCAGTTTTCATTTCAGATGTTTTACTATTTTTGTTTTTACTTGCTTAATAATAAATTTACCTTGATATATATTTAATAAAACAAACCACCAATTCAGATTTTTTATTATTGCACATCTGAGACAAAAAAAATGCTGTCACTTGTTTGTTCTTTATTTTCCAAAAGAAAAGCGTGTTTTTATAATTTTATATTGTTTCTTTTTTCTTTCAACAATGGTCTTTTCTCTAGAATGAACTAGGCAGTGTCATTTTCTTCAAAATGACACTATCCCTAACCCTAACCCTATTCCTAACCCTAACCCTATATTTTGCCTACATTAATGACTGAATGAGATAATTCTTCATGTTAGGAAATGTTGCTGGATGTTTGTGGTCCCACTTTATATTAACTTAAATAAAATAAGAGAAAAACTTGGTCAATAAAAGAAAAAAGCTTTTAAAACAGCATATTTTCCACTTTAAGAAAGTGTAAAAAATTTCAGCAAAAGTTTTCATCTACAAAAAATGTAAACTATCTTTCTGGTCAAATTTGTCTCATTCTTTAATTGAGATTGTGACCACACATAAACCTTGCAAGGGACGCAAGTGGCCCCAGAGCCACAGTTTGGTCATCACTAATTTAAAGACTTATAAAATCTTAGTATTCATTGTAAATAAAAAAATGTGTCCAAGTCCCAAAAGCAATTGGAGAGTAAAATCTAGATATTCATGTTCATTTTATAGTGCAGTGATTGCAATAGTAGATCAGCCATGTTCTCTGAGGGACATCCACAGCAACGCCACAAAGATGTTTTAATCCAACATCTGCAGCAAAATGTGGCAATCAGAGACAAAAGAGACGCGATGAAACATTTTATCATTTACCGCTACAAATCAGTTTGATTGAACAAGAATCACCAAGAAAAAGACGATAGGTTTGGAGAGTTTACGTGATTTAACGCTTCCCCCTGGCAGCAGGAGCTGCAAGTCTCTGGTTCTGCTACAGTTCCTGACAGAAGATTGGCTTGTTGTTTTTTGGACATCATAAAACTTTTACAGACGTAGCATCTATCCCAACTAAATAATGTCTTAGATCACGGATGCGGCTGACTGCATGTTTAATTTAGGCTCACTGCAGTGCAGCCTGTGGATGAGTTCAAGGTTTTCCGATTAAAAGCTTGTGGGGAGTTCTTGCCAGCAGTTGAAGAAAAACAAATCATGCCTTGTTGTATTCATTTATGTATTAAATGTTCTGAACCATAAACAGTCTACAATAATTCTTCGGCTTCTGGCATGGATCTAATCCTTATATTTCCTATTTAGAAACTCCACTCTTCCCATAATTTCTGCTTTTGATAAATCATTTTCTCCGGTACTACGGGACCTGTAACCATTGCTACGCTTACTGTTTGTCCTTCAGAAAGGGTTATTGTGACATTTTGTGAAATTATTGCAAAAATACTGATCTGAAAACCAATTTACTTTGTTTGCTTTGGTCTAAATTTGTGTATAACTAGTGTACAAATGTGGATTTTTACTTTTAATTCACTTTAACATTTTTATTCTTAATTTGGATCTCAACTACTTCTAAAAGAGTCAAAGTTTATTAGCAATAGTTTAATGGTTTGTTGTTTTTTTGGGCGGGGGGCGGGGGGTATCCTGAACACTGTACAGAAGAATAAACAATTTTTTTTTCTTTTTTAATTTATTTATTCAGATTTTTAGTTTTGTTTTTTTAACCAGGGCTTTACACACCATGTTCTCCCACCAACAAGGGAAGAAAGACTAAAACGGGATTACAGAAAATAAGAAAAAGGAAAAGAAATAAGTGTTGTATAAATAATGCATAAGGAAAAAAAGATACACAGTGTGGCTGCCTTTCCGTACATACAGTTTCATTTCCAGCTTCATCCATTTTCCATTTCAGCCCTAAGGAAGAGTGGCAGCACGCGGCCGATGGGCGGAGTGCGAGCCAAAGAGCAAAGATAAACTACCTCCGGTTCAATCTATCTGTTCCTCTGCCAACGATCCTAATGCAGAGTGGTAACACCGCGGGAAAAAGTCCAAAGAATAAACGTCATGGAGTGAAGATTCATTCGGCATTGGGAGATTCACTGGAGCTCAGAGATGCAGACTGGCTGGAGAAAAGCATCACCAAAAAGTCAATCAGCAGCAGAGGAGCTAATGAATGCTCCAACTCGGACTCCAGTTTAGAGAATGGAAACTATTCCATTCTCTAAAATGGTCTGACCTGTATTTGCAGGTCAGACCACTGCAAACACACTAAATCTTAGCAAGCGTTGTTAGTCCAGATTCTAGTGCAAAAATCTTAGTTCACTTCAAGCAAGAAACTTTTCAATTTTACTTATTTATTAATTTAAAACAAGCTCCTATATCTTGGTGAAGTTACTGGTAAGTTAGTTTTGTCTTTTTTCAAATGTACTAAGATGTTTGCACAAGAAAGTCTAATATTTTGTGTTTTTGGATCATGATCCTTTATAAATGTGATTCGCAGGTAAAAGGAGTGTAATAGAGTGTAAACAAACTGGCGTGACGTTAAAATCCAGGAGTATCCAAACTAAAAGTTAATTATCTTGGATGTATTCTAAGCTACAAGAACAAGACACAAGTCCCTCTTTTTCCTTTTAAAAACTTCTTAAATCTGCAGTATGTAACATATAAAAAATGTTTTTTACATATTTGTTGAAACTGTCAGGATGCTGTGACAGTTTATGACACAAATAATCTGTGATAAGATTTATCTCCTCCATGTAAAGAAATGAAATAAAAAACAACCAATCAGAGCCAGGAGGCCGGTCTTATCGCCGTGAATCAAGCTCATGTAATCCTGCTAAATGTGCTAATGGTGGAGAAGCAACTTAATGTTACAGGAAAACAGTTTGTCGGCTGTTATCGGTCACATGCTAACTAGCCTGAGCATTCACAACACGCTATGCTAGCTGCAGTGTAGCAGAGCACAAGTGGGTGATGGAGAGGTTGATTGACAGCACTAAGACCCGCCTCCTGGCTCTGATTGGTTGTTTCTAGTAAGGAGTGGGAGAAGGTGGAGAAGTTTGTTTCTTTTTCACAAATTATGTTTCTAAACTGTTACGACAGTTACAGTTTACACAAACGTAAAAATATACACATATATTTTTAAACAAGCTTCACACTGCATCTTTAAGTCTCTAATGAAGGATGTGCTCCAAATCCACTTTTGAGTAAAAGTTGCTGGTTGGTTGTGGAGTTATATGCTGTCAAATTAAAATGAAAGCAAAACATTTGGTTGATAAAATAGAAAAACACAAACCATTCATATTTTACGACTACTCTAATTTTTCTGGAGCATTTCACCTTAGTTTCCTCTCAGCATATCAGTTACCAACTCGCTGAAATAAAGCTGATATTCTTGAATTTTGGCCAACGGCCACACAGAATCATTCCACCAGCCGCAAACCGGCCCCAGAGCCGCACTTTGGACACCCCTGCAGTAATCTCTCCACAGCCCACTCACGACCAATAAGTGCATTTTTCCTTCTGTGACCCAGCAGACAGTCAGAGTAGCACTTAAACAAATAGGCTGCCGCAGCTGAAATATGCGAGGCAACGCGCTCTCCAAATAAATTAAATTATCTGCATCATAAAGCATGTCAGTGCAACACTGCATGCGACACAAAAATATATGGAGGAACAGTGAAATAGATAAAAAACGGCAGAACATTTGCCAAAATAAAACAAAAGCAAACTTCTTAATATGTGCAGTTTTGGAAAAAGTGTTCATACACTTTAAACTTTTTTACATTATGTAAAAACATTTACATACTTTAAGGGATTTTATGTGACAGAGAAACAAAAAGTAGTGAAAAACAGTGAGAAAAGTGAGTTTCTGGCCAGCCCCTTTTATTCTAAAACCTCAAAATACATAAAATGCAACCATTTATGTTCAAAAACTATTAGATCAGATAATCTTGATGGAGAACATTAGCAAGCAAACGGCATCATGAAGGAACACAGCAGACGGGTCAGAGAAGACAGAGTGAAAGGGCCAGATGAAGAAACGACTATAATGACAGGAATAGTCGTACAGTAAAACGTTATTCTCATTAATTCTGCTAATATAATTTTATTCTTGTACTTAAAATTCTTTTTTACTCCATTTACTCCTCTGTTATGAATTACTTTATGTTGCTGTCACATAAGATCCTCCGTTATTTTTGCAAGACAGTAGCAAGATCCCGATTTTCAAACATTTCCAAGAGCGCTTCGTCAGCTCTATTTACAAAGCTTATAAAGCCATTGACAATAAATAATATAAATATGTTTTCTTTAAGAGTAGAAAACCAGGAACAGATGCTGTTTTTATTCCCTCTACTGGAAACGTCTGACCTCAACTACTGCAAATTCAGTTTTCATAATTTTTGGTTTGTTTTACTCATTTGTAATTTAGATATAATCTAAATAATATTGTGAACCATGTAAATAGTTCACAGGGTTCCAAATATCAATGAAGCAGCTAATCCAGTATAAAGTTTTGATTCTGCATGTCAATCTGAAATTTAAATATTTGTTCATAAAATATCACCCATTTAGGTAAAGGATATAAAGTTAGACATCAGATTGGTAAGACACATTTTATTAATTATATTAATGTTAAATAGGAGTTTGAGCCTCCATAACAACTACAGCTGCTGATTTGTTCCTTTGGGAAATATTATTGCTGACAGACGCTCAAGGAAATATTTAGGAGATCTTGCTACTGTACAATATATTATACAACTACAATTAAAGCTGCAGTATGCAACTTTTACAAAAAAATATATTTTTAACTTTTTAAAATTATTTTTGTGACAGCCAAATGGATAATCTGCCCAAAAAATAAATTAAAAATGCAGAAATACAACTCTCAGTCAAAAACAACCAATCAGAGCCAAGGGGCGGGTCTTAGCGCTGTCAATCAATCTCATGTTCACCGCCCCACTTGTTTTTTTTTTTACCAAGCTGAACCTTATAACATGAACGCTGCCATCTTTTTTTTGTATAATACCAAAAAGATGGTAAGAATTTTTTATACAAGATTCACATTTTACAACCTAATCACCAAACTAAACAAATACCAATAAGAATAGAAAACACGCATAACAGAAAAACAAAAAAAGTATTTCCACCCTCAGCACATTGAGCAGCATAAACAAGAATGATTGACAGCACTAAGACCCGCCTTGTGTCTCTAATTGGTTGTTTGACTGTGCATTTTAGCTCATCAAGAGCTAGATTTTTTTCACAGATTATCTGTTTTATACTGTCACAACATGGTGACAATTTTATTAAAGATGGAAAAAAAACGTATTTTTTTATAAATGTTACATACTGCAGCTTTAAAACATAAAAAAGGCACCAATAGTTTATGGATTTTCATACAAATCAGTACTTTCTGTTGCTCATCTTCCCACATTTAGGTATAAAAACCCAACACAAACTGCAGCTTCCTCCCAAATACCCCTTCAGAAAGACTCCCAGGGTCCTGGGACGACCAACTGTGTCTGCGCCGGATCCTTAGAAGATGTGCTTTAGATGTTTAACACCGTAGGTCTTGAAAAACACCAGCAGGATTAAAGTCCACAGGCCCAGGATGAAGCCGTCAGGAGGATGCCAGTCTTTCTGCTTTGGTTTCTGGGGGAGGCGGGGAGATCGGGGTGAGAATGAAGTTTAGTTATGATGTGTATATATATCTCCTGTTGAGCCAACCTCTGATTGTTCTGTCATTCACACAGGTAAAGACTCACACACACATACACACACGTTTACTTTATCTCTGCGCACACACCCAGGTTCAACGCAGAAAGGCAGGTGGTGCAGCTCATCAGCACACTTCCCCCGTCTTGTATTTGTCCCATTCACTGCCACATCATCACTTTGTGTACGATTATACTTTTAAATCCCGCTCATATTAAACATGCAGCTCACAAGTAGCACATTTATATGCTAATGTGGCTGCAATATTCTGCAGAGAGATGAGATTTAACCTCTAAGAACATCTTCCAAACTCCTCTGCCAGCGACAAAGCTACAGATGCGCTGTGAGGATGCAAGCAGGGGATTTCTGCCTGCTACTCTTGTCCAATCAGAGCAGCACCAGTCAGACCCAGCAGCACCTAACAGGCATAAATTTTACTGTACGTACAACTGTAGGGAGCTGAGGAGAACTATAAGCTGGAGCGGAGACAGAAATAAACTTTGGTGTCAAAAACAAGCTGAGTTGAAAAGAAGATGAGGTTTTAATCACATGTAGACATGATTAGATGATGCGAACAATCAAATATATGAATTTGTTTTGTTTCTTGAAGATCATTAAGGCACTCACATGCCTTCTGAGCCGATTTTATCCAGAAAAAACAAAAACAATATAATCAAACAGACAAAATAAGAAGCTTTGTGGTGAAAAATACTCAAATTTGAAGATCGACTTAAGTTTTCCAACATATCTGACTCCACCTGATTCCATGTCCGTAGAAGAAAAAACGCTTTAAAAAGTACAGACATGAGTGAAAAGACGCGCACTATAAGCTGAACAATTTCAGTGAAGATGGATACTGTGAACAACTTTATTTTAACAATGAATTAAAAATAATAGTACTGCATTTTTAGCTGCTGTATTGATATAGGATCACACTTTCCATCTGCGAGATCAAGTTCTGCAACCTGAATTTCTGGAGACACAAGTGGCTCTTTGGTTCATTAAATGATGAAATATTGCTCCGTTTGTGCTTATTTCATATTTTAGTGCCTCCATAAAAAAAAAAAAAAAAATATATATATATATATATATATCTATATATATATATATATATATATATATAAATCAGCTATAAGAGGGCAGACTTGTATCATCAGCATTACAATTCAAATGGCATTGCAATATTAAGTAGCAATGCAGTACTTGATTTAGAATTATTTGTATATTTATGAACGGAAATTGTGTGCAGTATTGGATTTATTTATTTGAAGATTATTTTGTAGTTCAGTGCAAAAAATTATTCAACCCATTGGATAAATAATGGTTTAATCTGATCCTGGTTCGTATTGCTCTTTTTTAAATTTGATTAGAGTCTGTTATGCTGTTTTGTAATTAATTACCCAAATCTCTCTGGAGTCACTAGAATAAGGTAAAACTAAAGAACAGTGCAGAATGTAAGGCTGTTTCTGTGAACAGAAAGGCGTTTGGTACTGAAACTATGACAGACCCACTTCATGAACTGTGAACTGAAATAGTAAAACCCCGACTCATAATGTTCCCTTTCCATAGATGGACAAACATTCTTATTTAAAGAAAAAAGGCCAGCAGCCGCATAACTTTCAGATAAAAATAAGGGTAATGCTATTTCTAAGTATGATTTTCAAATAAAGTTCAGGTTAAAGACCATTATATTGATTTTTTTAACCAGCCATAAGGAGCCAGACTTGTATCATCAGCACCTTTATTCAGATGGCAAATTGTAATGCAGAATATTATGCTTGATGATGTGACTATCTGGTGAGATAAAAGTAAACTCAAATATTGGACCTTTGATGTAAAGGTTTGTACTTTTATAAACAAGACGTCTATTAAAAAATGCTTTTATAGAAGCATGTATAACTCCAAAAGAAATCTGTACAGCAACCTACAGCTAGTTTTGTTGTAAAAGAGGATCTGCATGTATTTTTGCTATGAACGGTCGAGTTTTATCAAGCAACTTTACATGCAAAAATATTCAGAGTTCATGGACAGAAACGATTCTGAGCTCCTACATGAAATCCCAGAAATAAGCAGCGTACTTCAAACCTCCAAACATTTCATGGTTGTGAATATACCCAGCAATCACTGCATTATACCCGGCCTATAAGGCTAACAAGCGAAATTGCCATGCAGACAGAATATTTCATCTAATCTTGATGATTCCCTGGTAGTATTTCAGTTTGTGAAAGAGTCCAATTGCCTTCCAATTTCACTCAAGTAGGCAGTCTCATATATTTGCTGAATTTCTCCTTCACCCAAGAGGCAAGTACTGCTGAATTGGCATATGTAGAGTGGATTCCTCTGCTCTATTTGTGTGCACATACAAATGAGAGCCTGGCACATCGAGTGCAGAAGCATGCGCCGAATGTCCAGTGTCTGAAATTACCGCCCGCTGAGCGTCTAATACGAGTAAAATCTGCCTTTGGCTCCAGCTGACACCATCATTTGAAGACCGGGGTTATATTCAGGTTTAATCTTCTCCCTGCCTGTACGTCCACCAATCAACGAGTGCTAAACAATGACTCAGAAAGGCTTTTCAGGATGCGGCTGAAGAGTAAGAACGGCGAATTTCAGTGAGCAGAAAAGGGGTCACGATAAACTTGACCTTGCAGAACCATAAAAACATTTCTAAAGAATTACACAAGGTCAGCATTTGAAATTAATAATGAATTTCTCTTGCTTGATACGTTCAAAGTGATTTCAAATTCCTTTTACATGAGTGGCTATTGGCGAGGCCAAGCGTTAATTTCTCATTGTGTGTGGCGGGTTGGCCCATAGTTCGCTCTCTCTCTCTGGCTGTGTGTGTTCAAGGCCGTCACTTTAACCCAAACTTCAGGTTGTGTGACGACACTGCCAATTTCCAGGCAAGAGAGGCTGAGGACAGCAGCAAAATTGGATTACGTCTGGGTCCAAATTTATTTAACAGCTCAATCAAGTCAAATCAATAGAGCTCCGCTGCCATCCAGGAATACTAAAGCAGCAACTGGGAAGTAATTGTGGCCCACGCTAGACGTGCTTTTATACGGAGGAAATAATGTTGGAGAAAGTGATGGCTGCAAGCTGTTAAAGCTGCTGATTAAAAGTTGCTCCTAGAGAAAAATATTTCCCTATATTATGTAATTTATAGAGATTTGATCAGGGATTTGTTGAATATGCATCTCATTTGCTGAGCTGCTGTCGCCTTGTTAAGAACTTCATAAAAATAAACACTTGAGATGTGAACAGCTGCAGTCAAGTCGTAAATCCAGCTCTAAGCCAGTCTGTCATAAAGTGACCTGAACTTTCCCTAAGCTTTGAGTTATTCCTTCTTTTTTTTTTTTTTGGTTAAGAAATCCATCATCTTCACCTATTTCACAACATTCCTAGTGCAGATTATATTTGTAACAAAAGTGCGACACTGCTGTAGTCCCAATGAAAAGGCTTTTTTTTTTTAAAGTGAAAACCCAAAATATTTTGTATGAGATTTCCAGATGGTGCAATATATATGGCACACCATCTTCAAAACATTCAAGTCAAAATTTCTTCTATACTTTGAAAAGAAAGAGAAAGGCAGACTAACTTTTTCATGAGGTTTAGTTTTTCTGACATAAAAATATGATGGCGCAGACAACCGACATGCCTTAATTCACAGAAACATCAAATATTCTTTTGGCTTTGACATTTATCAGACAGTTCCAGTTAACTTTGCTGAACTTGAAAGGATCTGCCGTTGAGAAATGGAAAGCCTGCAAACCTTGTAGTATAAAGAATATTTAAGGTTGTCAAAAGTGATTCGACTGAACTCTAAGAGATCCACGGTTTGGGATACAGCAGGCTTTAATTTATATTAAATAAAAAGGAAATTTTCATTATCCTCTGCTGTCAGAACTGTTTGGGCCATTGAGAACAAAAAATAATAAATTTTTAGGATGAATTTCAAACACTTGAAAGGGTCTGAAACTTTTCTGTCAGCACTGAAATTATCTAGCAAACTAAAAGCTCAGAGCTTCAGAATAGCAGAAATAATAAAGCTCAAACTGAAAAGAGATGCTTTTAGCATCACAATCAATGGTGCTTTTGTTAGAGATTGACAGAAACTGCAGGAAACATCTCAGACGAGAACAAATGTGGTCTTGTTTGTCTCACAGATACAAGAGTGGGTGTTTAGTCCAAAAATATCCTGAATTAAAGTACAGAAAGGCTGATTTGTAACTAAAGGTAAGCGAGTCTTTTGCGATGGAAGAAGAGTGTCTGTGTCTGAAAAAGAGTCAAACTGAGAGGAAGTTTATTCAGAAAGTGAATGCTTTTCTACTCGTTTTAAATTGATGTAATTAGAGCTATCTGATTATCTATGATGAAGGATTGCAATCTGAAAAAATTTTTGTACTGAAAACTGAGAGAGTTGTTTATTCTACATGAATTTAAAAAACAAAAACATCAAATAAATGTGATGTTAACATTTCATGAAGAAAAAAACCTTAGGTGAACCCAGCTTTACAGTCAGTCTTATTAATTCTGCCAAAATGTAAACACATCAACATAGAGCTTCTGTAAAACTAAAGTAAATCTTTAAAATTTTCAGGACATGATTGAAACAATTATTAGTTCTAAAATGACTGAAATCTAATCACAAAAACGGAATAATTTTGAGAAGTTGTGTTTGCTTTTCTGGTCCAGATCAGAGTTTGATTACACATTTAAACATACCCAAACAAACTGGACTTTCTAGGTAAATGTATCAGAGTTGGATTAAAGTGGACTAAACAGGGCTGGTGTGAATGAACCCTTACACCCGGGTAAACAAATGTTGACCTTTAGACCCACATCAGTAAGCAAGGATAGCCAAATTCATAGCTGAATCACGGCTTTAAGACTAGCGTGAACAAAATACGTGGACACTCTTAACCAATGTGCAAGAG